CCTGACTGGTAAGACAGGTGAGCTCAGAGCATGGATTGGCTCTGGGGACAGGGCTATTATAGCCATAACAGAAACATGGCTGAGAGAAGGGGAGGACTGGCAGCTCAGTGTTCCTGGATACAGAAGCTACAGGCATGACAGAAGTACAAGTAAGTGAGGAGAGGGAGTTGCCCTTTTGATAAGGGACCACATAACAACAATGCTTAGAGAGGATATTATTAATGGGTCATCAAATGAGGCCATATAGATAGAACTTAGAAACAAGAAGGGGATGGTCACTCTGTTGGGACTATTATAGACCCTCAAATAGACAGCGGGTACTAGCGGAGCAGATGTAGAGAGAGACTGTAGTTGCCTGTAGGAATAATAAAGTAGTACTGGTTGGAGATTTTAACTTACCTCGTATTGACTAGGCTACCCAGAGTGTAAAAGGCCTGGATGGGGTTGAATTTGTCAAATGTGTCCAAAAAAGATTCGTAAATCAATATGTAGAGGGTCCGACTCATGAGGGTACAACACTGGACCTCCTCTGAGGAAACGAGGTCAGGCAAATGACTGAACTGAGGACAGTATAAATCACCTGGGCCAATCAAATCTATTCTTGGATGTTGTGTGAGGCTAGGGAAGAAATTGCAGAAGTCCTTGCAAAGATGTTTGCTTCATCTTTAGCCACTGGCGAAGTTCCGGAAGACTGGAGGGTGGCTAATGTTGTTCCATTGTTGAAGAAAGGTAGCAAAGGCAAGCCAGGGAACTACAGGCCAGTGAGCCTGACATCAGTGGTAGGCAAGTTATTGGACAGGATACTGAGGGACAGGATCAACCAACACTTGGATAGTTATGGTCTGATTAGGGATAGTCAGCATGGATTTGTGTGTGGGAACTCATGTCTGACAAATCTTTCAGTGTTTTTCCAAGAGGATGGATGAGGGTAGGGATGTGGATATTGTCTTTATGGACTTTAGTAAGGCCTTTGACAAGGTCCCACATGGCAGGCTAGTCATGAAGGTTAGGTCGCATGGAATCCAGGGAGAACTAGCTAATTGGATTCAAAACTGGCTTGATGGTAGGAAGCAGAGGGTGATGGTTGAAGGTTGTTTCTCGGATTGGAGGCCTGTGACTAGTGTTATGCCACAGGGGTCAGTGCTGTGACCTTTGTTATTTGTTACTTATATAAATAATCTGGTGTGAATGTACAAGGCATGATTAGTAAGTTTGTGGATGATACAAAATGAGGAGGTATCGTTGATAGTGAAGAAAGTTATCAAAAATTACAGAGGGAACTTGGTCAGATGGGGAAGTGGGTTCAGGATTGGAAAATGCAATTCAATACAGGTAAGTGTGAGGTGTTGCACTTTGGAAAGTAGGACTTATACAGTTAATGGTAAGGTCCTGAGGAGTGTTGTGGAACAGAGGGACCAACGAATATAAGTACATAGTTGGTTGAAAGCGGCATCACAGGTGATCACAGTCGTTGGTGAGACCGCACTTGGGGTATTGTGTACAGTTTTGGTCACCCTGTTACAGGAAAGATATAGTTAAACTGGAAATTGTACAAAGAAGATTTATCTGCACGTTGCCAGGACTTGTAAGCCTGAGTTATAGGGAGAGGTTGGCCAGGATAGGACTTTATTCCTTGGAACATAGGAGAATGAGGGGTGACCTTATTGAGGTGTATAAAATCATGAGGGGCATAGATAGGATGAATGCATATAGTCTTGTTCCGAGAGATGGGGAATTAAAAACTAGAGGGCATAGGTTTAAGGTGAGAGGGGATGGATTTAAGAAGGACCTGAGGAGCAACCTCTTCACATAGAGAGTGGTGCGTATATGGAATGGGCTGCCGGAGAAAGGCAGGTACAATAGCAACATTTAAAAAACATTTGGATAGTTACATGGATGAGAAGGGTTTAGAGGGATATGGATTAAATGTGGGCAACTGGAACTAGCTGAGTGGACACCATGGTCAGCATGGACCAGTTTGGGCCGAAGGGCCTGTTTCCATGCTGCATGACTCTATGACTGTAGAACTAGTACACCACCACTGTCACAGACTTCATTAGCAAATGTGTGGAGGACTGTGTGCTGAAGAAGTCAATCTGTATGTTCCCCAACCAGAAACTTGGATGAACCAAGAAATCCATTGCCTACTGAAGACCAGGCATGCAGCATTCAAGTTGGACTACTCAGACTGTACAGGAAATCCAGATATGACCTCTGCAAAGCCACTAGAGATGCCAAAAGGCAGTACCAGAACAGTTAGAGGCCCAAATTAAGCACACGAACACCTGCCACCCGTGGCAAGACCTACACAATATAACAGGATACGAAATAAAGTGTAACAAAGTAGCAGCCAAAAACACATCTGTTCTTGATGTGGTCGATGCTTTTTATGTTCAGTTCGAGCAGAATGCTGATGGCACGGTGTCATCTGCCTCAACAGCCCCAGGCTTCCCTCTGTCACCGCTGCAGATGTCAGATTGACCTTTCTGAGAGTCAACCTAAGGAGAGGAACTGACCCAGACGGAGTCCCCAGCCATGCACTTAGATCCTGTGCAGACCAGCTGGCAGAGCTATTCACTGACATCTCAAACCTCTTCTTGTTATAATCTGAAGTCCCCACCTGCTTCAAGAAGACCACCATCATCCCAGTACCAAAGAAAATACATGCAATATTGCCTCAATGACTGCGGTCCAATGACTCTGACCTCTGTAATAATGAATTGCTTTGAGACGCTGGTCATGGCCCACATAAACTCTCGCCTCCCAGCCTGACTCCATCTCCTGCAATTCGCCTATCAACAAAACAGGTCCACAGCGAATACCATTTCCCTAGCCCCACAGTTATCGCTGGAACATATGGATAATAAGGACACCTACATCAGGCTCCTAATCATCAACTACAGCTCTGCCTTCAACACCATGATCCCTACCAGATTAATCTCAAAACCCAAGATGTGGGTCTCAGCTCCACCCTCTGCAACTGGATCCTCAGCTTCCTGACCCACAGACCGCAAACAGTGAAGATAGAAAACAGCACCTTCTCCATAATAATCCTCAACACCGGTGTCCCGGAAGGATGTGTTCTCAGCCTCCTACTATACACCCAGGACTAGGTAGCCAAATTCCATACAAACGCCATCTACAAGTTTGCTGATGACACCACCAAAGTAGGATGGATATCAAACAATGATGAATCTAAATACAGGAAGGAGATGGAGTGCTTGGTGACGTGGTGCAATGATAACAATCTCTCTCTCAATGTCAGCAAAACAAAAGAACTGATCATTGACTTCTGAAAGAAAGGAGATGGACACACTTCTATCTGTCTACATCAACGGAGCTGAGGTAGAGAGGGTCGATGGCATTAAGTTCCTGGGAATGACAATAACCAACATTCTGTCCTGGACCTCCCACACAGATGCGACGGTCAAGAAGGCACAACAATGACTCTTCTTCATCCAGACGTTTAGGAAATTCAATATGTCCATAATGACCCTCACCAACTTTTACAGATGCAGCATAGAAAGCATTCTATCCAGGTGCATAATGGCCTGATATGGCAACTTCTCTGCCCAGGACTGTAAGAAACTACAAAAAGTTGTGTGCACAGCCTAGACCATCACAAAAGCCAACCTCCCATCCATGGACTCCATTTATGTTGCGTTGCCACAAAAAAGCTGCCAACATCATCAAAGACCCGTCCCACCCCAGTAACGCTCTCTTCCAACCTCTTCTATCAGGCAGAAGATACAGAAGCTTGAACACACAAACCAATAGGTTCAAGAACAGCTTCTTCCCTGCCATTATTACACTACTGAATGGACCTCTCTAATTTCTAATTTCAAATAATATTGATCTGGCTTTGTGCACCTCCTGTGCAGCTGTAACCCGTATGCCTCACTCTGTCTAAGCACCCTTCGATCTGTATGTACTTGTTTGCTAATGATCTGCAAACTGCTCACAAAACAAAACTTTTCACTGTACTTGGGTACATGTGACAACAATAAATCAAATCAAATTAGAGAATTCCACAGATTTACTGTCCTCTGAGAGAAATTCCTCCTCATTTTGATCTTAAATTGACAACCCCTTATTCTGAGATGATACCCTCTGGTCCTAGACTCTCCCACAAAGGAAAAGAATCTTTCCACCACATCAAGTTCTCTATGTTTCAATGTTGTATGTATGTTTCAATACGGTCACCTCCAATTCTTCTAAACTCCAATGAGTACAGGCCCAACCTACTCAACAACTCCTCATCAGGCGTTCCCTTCATAACTGGTAACAGCCTAGTGAAACTTCTCCAGACTGCCTCCAATGCCAGTGTTTCTTTCCTTAGATAACCAGTCCAAAACTGTTCACAGTGTTCCAGCTGTGGTCTGGCTAGTGCCTTGTATTGTTTTAGCAAAACCTTCCTATTTTGATACCCAATCTGTTTGAAATAAAGGTCATAACATTTGCCTTCCCTATTTCCCACTTAACACAGATACCAGCTTTTGTACTTCCTGCACAAGGACTCCTAAATCCCTGTATGTGCTGCAGCTTTCTGCAGTCTCTCTATTTAAATAATATTCAGCTCCTAAACTCTTCTTGTAAAATCCATAACATCGCATTTTCCCACATTATATTCCATCTGCCAAGTTTTGCCCACTTGCTTAATCTGTCTATATCTCTCTTTGGATCATCCTCACCACTTGCCTTTCCACCTATTTTTATGCCATCCACAAACTTGCCAATCATACATCCATACCATTATCCAAGTCATTAACATGTATTATCCTCAATGAGGTTACCCCTCACATTTTCTTATTTCAAGAAATCGGAGATCCAGCCTCAGTCCTTTTCTGATTTTTGACCTACTCATATCCGTATCATCCTTGCAAATTGTCTCTATGCTCTCTCTAGTCTTTGTATTTTGTGGTCTAGCCAAGGTGTAGCATAGACAAAGCATAAGTTGTAAATTTTTCAACGAAGAGGAAAAGGCAATGAGCAGATCTTACCGAGGACGCCCAGTCTGTAGTTTATGGTGACAACGATAACATTTCCATAGCTCGCCAAGACACTCCCCTCGAACATGTTCCCTGTGCCTTCCATGTAAGATCCCCCGTGAACAAACATCATCACTGGCTTTGGGCCACTGTCTCGAATATCTAAAGAGAGAGAGAGAGAGAGACAGAGCGAGTTACTCCAGTGCTACGCCACAACTTCACAAGAGTGGACTACGCTGATATGGACAGGATGTGCATTAAGTTCTATTGAAGCTAACGTGTCTACCAACATTCTGAAAGATACATAGAATTCTCTCTCTTTCAGACACACACACACACACACACACACACACACACACACACACACACACAGACACAAACTCAATGTAGTTTAATCCACACTGATGATTTTGGTGCTCCAGACATTTCCCCATCCACCCCTTCTTCATTTCTCCCTATCAGCATGTCCTCCTATTCCTTTCTCCCTCATTAATTTATCCAGCTTCCCCCTTCAATGGATTCATACTATTCCACATGACTGTTCCCTGTCAGGAGAGAGTTCCGCATTCACCCTACTCTCTGAGTGAAGACGTTCCTCCTGAATTCCTGACGGGATTTAGTTGTGGCTGTCTGAGATTGATGATCCCTGAGTTCTGGTCACCCCTGCAAGTGGAAACATATTTGCTATATCCACCCTATCGAGTCCTCTTCATGCTTATAAAAACCTCTATCAGGTCACCTCTGTCCCGATTGTTGCATGTGTACCTTTAACAGAATGCATCTTTAAGGACTCTATGTACAATCTGTACACGATGTGTGATTCTGCCTGACAGTTCATCTACTGGTGTCGGCAAACGACATACAAATAGCTACCAGTTGGTTTCCCATAATGTCTGCTTCATGACTGAGTTTACTGTTTTAAATAAACTACCCAGGAAGTTAATCAATCGTTGACAAGCGACTAATTATTAGACTACTATTGCTAACGTGACATGGTGGCAATGGTGACACAGAAGTGAAGGCAAATTAGGTGTGTATGTTCCGGTTTCCCAACCCTCTCCCAGTCCTGTTGACACACATGATCCCAAATAGAAACAGTAATGACAGACAATATCACTGACAACTACAGGCAACGAACAACACCTCCAGACAAAACACCATCATAAAATCAACAACTTATTGGTATGGTGTGGAGACTTATAGGCTCATTTCTTATTGCAAATAGATGTCAACTTTCTTTTGGCTAGAAGGGGAATGTTGTCCTTGTACACCAATCTATGAAAGTAAGCATGCAGGTATAGTGAGAGGATTCAAGTGCAGGAATAGGGATGCCTTGCTGCAATTGTATGGGGCCTTGGTAAGACACACCTAGAGTATTGTGGGCACTTTTGGTTTTTTCATATGGGAAAGGATGTTCTGGCTATGAAGGGAATGCAAAAACAACCACCTGACTGTTCTAATCCCATTTCCAGCACTTGGCCCATAGCCTTGTATGCCTTGGCATCACAAGCACACATCTAAATAATTTTTCCACGTTATGAGGGCTTCTGCTTATACCACCCTCAGAAACAGTGAGTTCCAAATTCCCACAACCCTGTGGGTGAAAATGCACACATCCCCTCACATCTTCTGCCCCTTACGTTAAATCTGTGCCCCTGGTCACTGATCACTCTTTTGAGGAAAAGGTTTCTTCCTGTCTAGGCCCCTCATAATTTTATATATCTCAATCATGTCCCCTCTGAATCTCCTCGGCTCCAAGCAAAACAACATCAGTCTGTCCAATCTCTCTTCATAACTGAAACACTCCATCCCAGGCAACATCTTGCTGAGGGGTGGCACAATGGCTCAGTGATTAGCACTACTACCTCATAGCACCAGGGACACACGTTTGATTCCAGTCTTGGGTGAACGTCTATTACATTCACACATTTTCCCCATGTCTGTGTGGGTTTCTCCAGGTGCTCCGGTTTCCTCCCACAGTCGCAAGTAAAGTGGATTGGCCATGCTAAATTGGCCATAGTTCCACTGATCTAAAGGCTGGGTGGTTTAGGCATGGGAAATGCAGGGTCACAGGGAGAGGTTGGGGGGGATGGGTCTGGATGGGATGCTCCTCAGAGGGTCAGTGTGGACTTGAAGGGGCGAATGGCCTGCTTCAATACTGAAGGGATTCTATGAAATCTCTCTGCACCCTCTCCCGTGCTATCACATCTTCCTGAAATATTGATTCCAGAACTACACACAATGCTCTCACTATGGCCTCACAGATGTTTTATACTGTTCCAGCATCACCTCCCTACTCTTAAACTCTATGCCCTGACTAATATAGGCAAGTATTCTATATGTCTTTTTACCCACTCATCCATCTGTCCTGATACCTTAAGGCGCTGGTGGACATGCACACCAAGGTGCTTCTGATCCTGAGGAACTATCAAAATATTAATGTAAATGTGACATCAGTCCCAGTTTTCCAACCTCCCTGTGCTGCTAATGACCTTGAGAATTTTTGTTAAATACTTTCTACAGAGTCTCTATCTCTCTCCAAGTGGGGACCGGAACTGTGCACACTAATCCAATTGTGCTCTCACCAGGGCTCACTGTGAGTTTAACAAAGGTTCAATAATGTGCCTCGAGAAACATTGCTTAGGCTTCAGTTATGTTTTCTGTGGGCAACTGGGGCCAATTAAAGCATTCATAGCACAAGCTTCTTCCACATGCCTACTATCCCCTGGCAAATGACACTGGGAACAGATTTAACGAGGGTTATCATGTAGCCATTTGGTGAATCACTCTGAGCTCAGAGTAAAATGGATAGTGTTTAAGCAGGTTATTTGACATGGGAGATAAGATGGCAAGAATTCAAACTTTCCCTTTCAGCTCCCAAGTGAATAGCTCTTTTCATTTTAGACCCTCAGTTAATGCCCAATGTGCAGAAGGAGGCAGAGAAAGAGGGAGTGATGGACAAAGAGGAGGAAGGTATATGGGAGGCAAGAACAGTGCAGCACAGAAACAGGCCTTTCAGCCTACCATGTCTGTGCTGACCATGATGTTATTGGATAAGGCACTGCCCTCCTAAGGCAGGGATTGCGGGTTCACGTCCTGTCTGGGGTGCGTTGAGCTCTGCCGTGTGCCACTGCCTTAGGGGCGGCATGGTGGCTCAGTGGTTAGCACTGCAACCTCACAGCGCCAGGGACCCGGGTTCAATTCCAGCCTCGGACGACTGTCTGTGTGGAGTTTGGAGTTTGCACATTCTCCCCTTGTCTGCGTGGGTTTCCTCTGGGTGCTCCAGTTTCCTCCCACAGTCCAAAGATGTGCAGGCTAGGTGGATTGGCCATGCTAAATTGCCCGTAGTGTTCAGGGGGGGTGTGTGGGTTATAGGGGGATGGGTCTTGGTGGGATGCTCCAAGGGTCAGTGTGGACTTGCCGAAGGGCCTGTTTCCACACTGTAGGGATTCTTATTCTACACTAATCCCATCTGCCTGCATATGGTCCATATCCCTCTATTCTCTGCCTGTTCATGTGTTGTCTAAATGCTCTCAAACTTTGCTATCATATTTGCTTCTACCACCTCCGCTGGCAGCACATTCCAGGCACCTACTAACCTCTGTGGAAAAAACCTCGCCACCTCTCACCTTAAACCTATGCCCCCTAATATTTGACATATCCACAAATGCGCAACTGGCATTGGTGGTTCAGTGGTAGAATTCCTTCCCACCACACAGGAGGCCCAGGTTCAATTCTTGGCCAATGTGTGGTATTGCTTTCTGTCCCTTCTTGCCACCCAACTTCCTTTCATATCACCGCCATGTTTCTCAACCTCTTTAGAAAGGCACAGTAGCTCAGCGGTTAGCACTGCTGCCTTACAGCGCCAGAGACATGGGTTCAATTCCAGCCTCAGGCAACTGTCTCTATGGCATTTGCACATTCTCCCCGTGTCTGCGTGGGTTTCCTCCGGGTGCTCTGGTTTCCTCCCACAGTCCAAAGATGTGCAGGTTAGGCCACGATAAATTGCCCATAGCTTCCAGGGATGTGTAGGCTAGGTGGATTAGCCATGGGAATTGCAGGGATAGGGTAGGGAGGTGAGACTGCTGGAATGCTCTTCAGAGAGTCAGTGTGGACTTGTTGCATCAAATGGCCTGTTCCCACACTGTAGGGATTCTATGATTAAGCAAACCCTAATTGCCCTTTCTATCCATGCCTCTCATAATTTTACACACTTCTTATCAGGTCACCTATCAGCCTCTAAAGATCTAGCAAAAACAATCCAAGTTTGTTGAACCTCTCCTGATGGCTATTACACTCTAATCCAGGCAAGATCCTGATAAACCTCTTCTGCACGCTCACCAAAGCCTCCACATCCTTCCTATAATGCAGCAACCAGAATTGAGCACAGTACTTCAAATGTCTTATACAGTTGCAACATGATTTGCAAACTTTTATACTCAATGCCCTGACCGATGAAGGCAAGCATGCCATATACCTTATTTACCGCCTTATCCACTTGTGTGGCTGCTTTCAGGGAGCCAGTGGTTTGGCCCACAAGATCCCTCTGTATATCAATGTTCCTATTGGGCTGGCCATTTCCAGTGCACTTTCCTCTTGCATCTGATCTCCCAAAATGCATCACACCTTTTCTGCCATCTGCTATTTTTCCTCTTGACTTTGATATCCATCCTCATTATCCACAATTCCACCAATATTTATGTTGTCTGTAAATTTACTACTCACATGACCCACATTTTCATCCAAATTGTTTATATATATTACAAACAACAGAGATTCCAGCACTGATCCCTGTGGAACATCACTGGTCACTGATCTCCACTCGCAGAAACACCCCTCGACAAATACCCTCTGTTTTCTTTGACCAAGCCAAATTTGTATCCAACTTGCCAACTCACTGTAGATTCCATGCGATTTGATCTTCTGGGCTAGCCTACCATAACAGACCTTTTCAAATGCTTTAGTAAACTCCAATAAGATAACATCCACTGCCTGACCTTCATCAATCATCTTCGTAACTTCCTCAAAAAACTCAATTCAGTTTGTGAGACAAGACCTCTTGTCATAAAGCCATGCTGACTGATCCTGATAAGTCCATTCTTCTTCAACTGCAAGTAAATCCTATCCCTAAGAATCTTCTCCAAAAATTTCCCTACTATTGG